TAACTTTTTAATGAACAACGAGCGACGGCTAAAATCTTTTGGATGTTATTCAGGGCAGTGACCTTGACAACATATGTCAAGAACGAGGCAATCGAGGCGGGCTTTCTTCATCGGTATATTTACCAAGAAAAATTAAACTTGATAATAAAGTTATTAAGGCGATTGACAACACAACTTGTACATGCAATATATATATACCCTATGAGCAAGAAAAAAAGTGCAACAGTGCAAATAATATGGCATGCTCCTCAATGACAAATTCAACGTTTCTTTATAAGAATGTGCAAGAGATATGGAAAAGCAAAAGAAGAAAAATTATAAGTAGGAAAGATATGCAAAAAAAAGAACGTCAAATTATATTCCCAATTCTTGCAAAAATGTAATAAACAATTTAGAGGATAAATCTTACATTCTCTCGCTGTGTATAATAGCAGCTACTATATATTGAAGCATTTCTGAATGAAATTTTCTTCATTGCTGCTATCATCCTCTGATGTAGAATTCCAAAAATGCATTCTGTAACACTTAGTGCGAACTTCGTCTAAATAAGTACAAAAAACCTCGCTGCTTAATGTAGAACATTTATACTTGCAGAGCAGAAGATAAAATAACATCATAAAAATTTTCGATTTCTAAAAATTTCTTAACTATCAAAAGATACAAATTATTATTCATGACAATGTCTAAAACGATACAAATTGATCCATCACGTAAGAGGCAACAATTACATGTATATCTATGCTTAATAACATTTTGTTAAATGTAATCTACTATATTGGGGACATCCATTAGTTGCATTATGCTGTACGGACACATGAATAGAAGAATCGATATCACAATTATTATTTATTTTATGAACTTTTATTTCTGTTATTCTGTTAAAGAATTATTGAATAAGTAAACCTGGTTTTCTGCAATATTTTTTTTTAAATAGTCATGTTACTTTCATATGGGAAAGCAGAAAAAGAATCTAAATTATCAAGACGTCTTACATCGTTGGTGAGAAGAAGAAGACTATGAACATTATAAGTATTAAAATTGGGACCGTACAAATTTTCACATCTTTGAACAAATTTTTGTAGTGCAAGCTTTGCAAAATTTAACTGCAGTTTTGATGGAAAATTCGAAATCAAAACTCTTACAGCTGCATGTAAAAATAAAAAGTGTTTATAAATTTGCTCATGAAGTATACCATATTACAACAGGACCTGTATAAAAAAGAAATTGGCGAAATTCTGTCGCTTTGTACTTGAAGCATATATCGAGTGATCTTGGATGACTGGCAAAATCTGAGGGACAATATTTTTTAAAAATATTTAATCTTGCACACAAAAGAGAAATAGATCTACCTGATAATTTTGACAATCGAGAATATTTTCCATACATCCACGCTAATAAAAGTTTTTTCATGACTCCTAAACAAACTAGATGCATATATTCGAATGGAACTTGTGAAACCATACCTATTGGAAATATTAATAAAGGGCTTTTATTCTCTTTATGATGACCTTCATCAAGACCTATAGATATATTCCCCATCGATTCGAAAAGAATGATTAATACCATTGAAGGCATTACAACTTTCGCTGTGTGTACTTCAGATTTTGCACTTAGAACAGGGTTGATTAGATGTATGACCACGATGATTGAGAATGAAGGTACGAGCTGGTGCATCAGCTATAAAACATCTCAAGGATATTGGTATTTTATTACCATGAAAATTTATACCTCCGTTGAACATTATTCTTTTAATATCTGTAACAAATTTTTCAAAGAATATGTTAGGATCAGATGGCTTCTGCATTCCTTTATAAACTCCTACAACAATTAGTTTTGTGTGCTGGATATTTGCAATTCTAATTTGAATTGGCCAGATATGAATACTACTTGACTTATCTAACGTGCATCCATCTATTTCCAATTGATCAATAGTGATGAGATACTCTTGAGACACTGAGTAATCTCTCTTTCAAGATCGAAATGAAAATATTCTCCTGGCTCCACATTAAAAGTAACAACACGATTTCGTGGCCTATTAAGAAGCGTCCTAACATCTTTTGGCAAGTTGGAAAAGCAAGGATGCGTTCGAAGTAGAGATAATATTCTATTTCCTTGAATATGCGTCAAATTGATATCTATGAAACAAGAAGCTAATTGTTCGCTAAAAGATGATTCTGTCGAAACAGTAGTGAAAAATGAGAATATCGCATCACTAGAATCAGAAACAGACGGGGACAAAGAAGAAGACCCATTTTCTATATTGATGTCGTGTCAAATATCATTTATAAAATTATTAGAACGATTACACTCTGCAGATGTTGATGGACCAGAAATATCTTGTACATAATCTTGTATATTATCTTGTATATTATCTAATTTTTTATATCTGAAAAAATTTTGATTAATTTCCAATCTAATTTTATTTTTTTGTTTTGAGGATAATTTATGAAGTGATTTTCGTGAAGTAGAAAACTTTAAATTATTTGGCCTCATATTTACGTATTTTCCTCTTGTGCTGCAGCTGAATATTATGTTTACTGAACTAAAAATAACTTAAAATATGTACTTCTCACATAAATTCCACAAACTGTTCTCCTTATATTTCTCTGTACTTTATCTCACAATTGTAAAACAATTGAAATGATCAAAAACAACGACTGCGCGCCGGTAAACAGTATGACCAATTATATAAGCTTAGACCGTAAATTATCCAATCAGAGAGCGTCAGATTATGGCAAGAAACTTTTACACAATGCATAATGCATAAAAGAATGCATAATACCAGAGTTCTTCATTTTTATTATCAAGATGAAAATGAAGGACTGTAATTGATTTATTCATTTATGCGCAAAAGTTTATTTAAGCTTATATCCAGACAAACAATATTGAAAATAATAATAATTCCCAAAAACGAAAAATAAAAAACGAAAAATAAAAAATAAAAAGCTTGTAGAGATTTGAGTAATAAGAATAAAGAACAATAAATGTTAGAAAGAAGATATATATTTGATCTATAATTCAAACTTTACACATGTAATATTATTATAATATAATTGCTTCTTTTACATTCCTATGTTCTGTAACACATTATGAATTAAAATTTTGAATTAAATTCATATACTTTCCGTTTTTATTAATTACTACTTCATTAATTATTACTTCAATATATGTTGCTCATTATTCCTAATTTAGTTTATAACATATTAAGTTTAGTTTATAACATAATGTAAGATATATATATATATATATTATGTTATATATATCATATCTTACATTATGTTATTATTATCGCATATCTTACATTACGTTATCATTTCTTTATATACTACAATCATAAATTATTGCAAGGAAGTTGATTATTGATCCTTTTTTCCTAACAATACATTTTACTTGCAACAAATAATATTTCAATTTATAATTTACATATATGTATATATATAAATTATAAATTGAAATATTGTTTGTTGCAAGTGAAATGTATTGTCAGAAAAAAAGAATCAATAATTAACTTCTCTGTAATAATTTTTATTGTTGTAATAAGTATACAAGAAAATAATTATATCTGTTCAATTTCTGCTATCAATCTGTCGTCCATTATATCAACAAGTTCTGCTTGTTTCTGTTGACAATCTTTTGTTTAATCATTTGAACAGATTTTGTTGTATTTCTGCTGACAACATAATCGAATATATCAGTTTCTTTATACAAACTGTAATCTTTCTGACTTTAAAATTTTTAATGGGCATTTGAGGAAAATCTGTTCTAATAGATTTGGCTATCTGGATATATATATACACACATATACACATATATATATGTATGTATTTACATATATATGTGTGTATTTACATATATGAGTATGAATATATGTGTATGAGATATATAAAGATGTGCATATATATATATATATATATATATATATATATATATATATTTTTTTTTTTTTTTTTTGCTAATTCTATAGCTTTCTATGATTTATTTTAATATTTATTATTAAATATATGTACATATCCACAAGTTTATACATATATGTAAAGAGTAAATATATTATATTAATATTAATAACATTAAATTCCCAGACATAGGTCATTCTATGGACATTCATTTTATGTCCATTTACATCTGCACATCCATGGACATGGAAATGATCGTTCATCGTACATCCGATTCGGGACATCCATTAACGGCCAATATTTGGATGTCTACAAAATGTCCGATCTTGGACGTCAAAGTTTCGCGCGAGCACAAGGATGTGTTAGTTCGTTCATTTACCGCTATGCGACATGCGATGCGCTATCTTTTTCGTATTTAAGTTTTAGTTATGAAAATTATATAAAGTTTGGAAAGAGTAACAAATAAAATTAAAAATATACTGTTCAATTTAATTTCTGATCTTAATACAAGAGTTTCAAATATTAAATTGATTTTATAAGTCGGACAAGTAAATGTCCGGCAAATAAACGAAAATAATCCTTTCATTACCTATTTAAAATGTAAAGTGCAATATGCGAGTATAAATTAAAAATAAAATTTTTATATGAAATTTTTATGCAAAATTTCAAATGAAATAGATAAATTATATTATTATTTAGGAATTAAAGCATATCCACCAATTTCATAAACAGATACACCACGGACGTCCACTGAATGTCCGAAGAACGTAAAACGGATCATCTGTGGATATCCTCAATATCCTTAATGATCATCTATGGATGTCCTTCGGATATTTGTGTGCTGTATGGGTTACAACATGACAAGTAACGTATTCCAAAAAAAATACGTTCTCTCTTTTTCTCTCTTTCTTCCAGCAATGCACTCGCAATATCAAAATATCTAGACATTCACAAGCGGGAACATCCGTAAACGACGTCTAGTGTCGAACACCGCGCGCGCGCTGGCGCGCGCCCTCCGGTGCCGCACTGCCGCCAGCCAGCTGTGTACCGATCGGCTCGGAGTAGACCCCGACAAGGCCATCGTCGTCGCGCGCGCCGCGCGTCCGTCAGTCAGCGTTCGCGCACGAATGTGACGGGTACAGTCGGGTCGGTCGTCGTGGCGGGTTTTTACTCGGCGCCGCGCTCACGAGTCCGAGCTCGAGAGAGCAGAGCTGACGTTTCCGCGCGAAGCGAGAGAGGAAGGAGATCAAGTGACTCCGTTCCTCTCCTTCTTTCTCTTCCTCTTTTCCTCTATTTCTCTCTCTCTCTCTCTTTCTCTCCGTCTTCTCCTTTCCTTCTTTCTATTTCGTCAGTCTACGGGGCCAGGTAGCCAGGTAGCTCGAAGGGCAGGGTACGTATCGACGACAGAGGCTGTGACCTGCTTCCGCGCTCTATCCTCGCTAGCAGTCCGACTGGCGGACGAACCGAAGGTGAGAACGACAAGGATCCTCTCGTGAAACGTGACGATCGGGCCAGTCGTTACGACGTATCGTCGCGTTCCATAATTTTACGACGCAACAGTCTCTCGTGGGGAGAGCGGATATTTGACAGATCGCTGTCAGGTGTCCGCTCGAGAGTATTCTCGAATCACACGTTTAATCATCCCACGCGAGGGAACTCGCGTTCTCTCCGGTGAAGCATCATAGACAAAACCGAAATCGTTATTGTGATACATGCGCGCCTGTTTTGAAGGGTTAAGCGATTATCATCACGTAAGACGATTACAAGGTGTTGTTAAACAATAGGAGAGATCGCCGCGATAAATTATCCTCTTATTGCGCTGAATCTCGAGATACGCCAACTCCAAGTACAAATATGTGTACGTGTGCATGTATAATGCGTGCGTGCGTGCGTGTGTGTGTGTGTGTGTTGAAACAATATTCCTCATTTTTTTTTTATTATTCATCCAACGCAATCTCGGGGAATGCAAGAATGAAAATTGCGCGCGTCTTGTGCGACTCTATATACCTACTTTTGTTCCGAAAGACTCGATGAACTAAACTAGATTATTCTAAGAAATTAAAAAAAAGGGTCTATGTAGATCCGCATTCTTCCTCCCTCCCCTCGCAAAGAAGGGCAGGACGCAGCAGCAATAACGCGAGAGTTTCCACATACAGAGAGAGAGAGAGAGAGAGAGAGAGAGAGAGAGAGAGAGAGAGAAAGAAAGAGAGAGAGAGAAAGAGAGAGAGAGAGAGAGAGAAAGAAAGAGAGAGAGAGAGTTACTAGGAGTAGGGGGAGAATCGAGGCTTTGTTTAACGGCTTTCGAGCAGCCGGAGCGCCTGTTCGTTACGGAAGGTCGAGAAGTCGATGCTCATCATCGACTGGTCGAGCGGCGACGCGGTGCGCGGCGACCTTGATCGCGCACATCGCACGGTGTGCCACCGGTGTAGAGGTATACGCACGTCCCGCGCGCGTCGACGTCGATAATTCGCGAGCGTACATTCTCTCTCTGTCCCGCGTGTCTCGCACACACAGCACACACTCGATACTCTTGCATTCCTGCTATCGCGACCCGAAGAGAGAGAGACAGACGATCTCTTCTCTTCCATTGGTTAGTTAAGAATTTTACGTATTTTTCGATTTTATTTGTATATGATAAGGAAAAGGACGAGGGAAGGAAGAAAATCTCGTTCTGCTCTTCGCATTTTGCGTCATCCACGAATTGTTGTTGTTCGTTCGAAACTTGAAAATAGCCATGAAAAAAGGAAGAAGCTCATCTGTCAATTGCAATCTAACTCTCCATCTGCAATAGAATTGAAAACAATATTCGATGTTTTGCAATTGTGTCCAAGATCTCTTATCTATCATGATTACAATATTCTAGTAATGTTTTTTAACAAAAAACAAATATTAAATAATTAAATAAGTAAATATTACATAGCACTTAACGTGAATGTGATAAAATTTAATTATTTCTCAAATTGATCTTTATTTTTACATCAATGAAAAATAAAGAACATTGAAAAAAAAATGTGACGGATAAAATTTTCAATCCAAACGTCCGATAATTTTACACTTAGTTGTGTTTCCTTTTCGCCAGATCTTTTCTATTTTGTAATTTTAAAATGTAAAGCAACATCCATCAAATATATAATTGAATTCAGATCAATTTTTCAGGTTGAACGTTCGAGTCATAATTTATTGCTTCGAGTGTTTAAATCGCGGTCTCTTCAATCCGAAATAATTTCCCGCTCGTAAGAATTATTAGTCGGACGCTTTAAGCCGCTTTAAATCACGCACGATCGATGTTCGTTTTGCTGCGAACTATCGATGGGTCGCGCTACGCGTCATATCTATCGCGATGGAGGTCGCGTTGATAATGTAGGTCATGCATTTTCGGTCTTGCACATTTGACATCCGAACGTCGATTGGTTCGCGCGTGGACCAATTCAGCCATTATTGTTCCACCGAGAATCGAGAGTGAGCCAATGTTCTCGGACAGTTGGAGGAATTTTTAAACGAGATGATTGTCAGTTTGATTGACAATTCGATTAATCTTACACTATACGAGAGAAGCAATTGCCTCTTGGGATTCTCGCAAACGTATTGACGCTAAATACAGCGTGAATTTCCTCGTCGACGTTTGCGAGCAAAAATGTACAACCTTCTTAAATCGAATGTTGAAAAAAATCTGTCGGAGATCTCGGTGAAAGCTTCTATTTTCTCGACGATTAAAGTTCGACATGAAAACATATCAGCGATAATCGTAAACCATTCCCGATCAATACGAGCGTCTAAAAAACATCATAAAATCAAATGTCTTTCGGATACTCGTATCGTTATCTGGAATGAGGACATGAAACGATTATCTATATGCTGACATTTTTTACGCGAATTTATTACGATTATATTTTACATCATCAAGTATTTCATTAAAATTCGATATCCGACCGCTAATAACGATCGTCCAATTTAGGTCATTCGTTCGTTCGTGCAATTGCTGATCGTTGCAACGACTTTCTTTGATAATGTGCTTGAGGAATTGTACGTATTTTGAGCACTTGGAAATAATAGGACACTCGCTTTTCATCACATCGCCTCCATCGCTTGTGTTTCGCATTCGTGTAAGATACTTTTGCGACTCGATTGATTCGTTCTATCAAGTTATTGTTCTTTTACATCGTTTTTAGTATGTGTAGTATGATCCTGACTTGTTACTTTAAAAGTCCTACGCTTTGTGTTATATTGTGCTGTCAGATGCTTCGCGAAATGTTTATGAAACTTATTTCAAGGTCGAATAAACAACAATCGATTTATCAAGTATAAAGCAGGTGCTAATTACATATCTGATGAATTATAATTAAAAATACAATATTTGCAGCATTTTGTAATATTTGAGACATCAAGTTATGATGTAAATTTTCGTTTTGATTCATCGATATTGCAAAGAAATTAATACTTTCAAAAAATATTAATAAAATAGTCAGATTTACATTAACATATATAATAATATATGCTATAAATTTGAAAAAATAACTATTTTCTGGCAAGTACTACTGTGAGAGAGAGAGAGAGAGAGAGAGAGAGATTTCGAATTATATTTATTTTCATTCTCCCTATGAAATGCTCTCAAGTTATCAGCTGAACTTTGCGTGTCAATAATGATAATTATACATCAATGAAAGATAGATACACCTACGCATTATATGCATAATTTAAAATATACTTTACAACGCCTTGATATTAATCATCTTTATTTAACGCGATGACATTATTATAAATAAAAAAAAGTTTTTACAACACAACACAGCTATATTATATTATTATATATAATTATATGTGTGTTTATTAATTCATTAATCGTGTTGATTAATTTGCATTATTAATGCGTTATATCTATTATATCAAGAAGCCTGGTTAAAATTATTGTCCATAGAAAATTTATTAATCTTTGGTGATGATATCTAATAATTCAACCGTTCCTTAATTAGCATGATTTCCGTTGTGACGATACTTCTCGTAGGCGGTACACGAGCGTAGGTAGATACTTTACGAGATGATGCAGGACACGTTTCACAAGGATTCGCTCACATTCCACTTATCACTGTCTTTGCAGTACCAAGAATCTGAAATGCATATATAGACAGATTAATTTCAAAGCAACGACTTAAAGTAAACAACGAATTATTAAACTAACGAAATAAGAAAAATCGGGTCTTTTTCGAATTGACTACAATCAATACTGGAATGTTTGATTAGAATTTTCATACAATAATAGGTTAGGTTTCCTTCATTGTCCAATGGAGTTTGATGTTGGAGGCGGAAAATTATGTAAACTAGGTTCTTATACATCGAAAAGTTTTTAATAGCTTTTGCATATGTTTTATTATAACAAATTTTTAACCAATTCAATTGTATTAATTCTATTCAATTTATATTAATTCTATATATTTAAGATAACTTATCATTCAAAATCTTTGATATTACAGAAAACCTACTTTATCGAATAACACGTACAAAATTAATTTATTTCATTATGAAACAAGAGAAAGAAAATTATATTTTTCATTCAATCATATGGCTATGGTGGAAAATTACAAGTTTCTTAAAAAAAAATAATTTCCTGCACAATTTTAGTCATTCCAGGGAACATAATTCGTCACGCAATTGACATTGATTTAATGATTTGTAAATGATTTTCGACGTAATCACAACTGAGTCAGAAACTAACTTCGTTGAATGACGTAATATACTAAATACATCATTGTACAAGTACGTTATATATCGAATCTTACGTCACATGGTACACATCGCTTTCTGTCATTATATGTCTGCTTCGATAGCTTCGAACCAAGAATATCTCTCTGAAATGTCAGCGAGGATGAAATTCCTGATTTCAGCGCGAACGTAAATTCTTACCTAAGTGAGATTCGAAGTAATCAGAATCTCAGAATTCCAACGAAAGATCGAATATGAACAATCCAAGTAAAAACAATTCGAGTGAATTTGGAATTCGTATCCAAGGTAAAAGATTGATACTTCGCTAATATTTCACAATTATCGATTCGATCATATCACATTTCCCCTTGCATATGCCTGACAGTGCTTAATGAAAGCAGAAAACGTTGCGAATATTTACTTTGCGTCATTTACTGAGTCATTGTTGACGATGGATTTGTGATCCATGCGTCCAAAGTCGTATGTAATTATGGACATGTTGAATTTCATATCAGTTTCACTGCGTAACGAGCAAGTTAAAAGCACGATGATGATACATGAACGTGGAATAATTGGTATATAACGAACATTTTTTTCCTTTTAAAAATATTCGTGAACGTAGAATAATCGGTATACAACGGGTATTTTTTTCCTTATAAAAATATCCACAGTTTCTGAATTATAAACGACTGAAAATTCAAGAATTCGTCATTAAAATTACAGTCGTTAGTTCTGCAACATGTACATTCGTAAGTTGAAAACGCACTTTTTT